GGGTTCATTTACTGGTTTGTCTGCTATGCTCCTTTAGGTCCGCTCGCTGCCCTGAGTGGTCGTTATAAATAGAGACCCCCGCGGGCGCGTCGGGTTACACTCACTCGCTCCGCCGCGCGGCCGCTTCTCCCCGTGAGCTCAGCTGGAGACGAGAGGGAATATATGAGCTTCACTCTTCGCTACACGCAGTAATGTGAACTCCCTTACGATTTGTATTTGTCCTTGTTGTAGTTGACGACGGAAAACGTTCAGCAATGGTGCAATTGGACATTTAAAGAGAGTTTCATACTTCGCCAAACATGTAAGTAGAGTTCAAGTTCATCTGAACAGACCCACCTTGACAGATCTAAGGTCACTGAATAACGCATAACTCGGATTCAATCGTAATAATAACACCATGCGTATTTTAATGTATTAATTATCTTTGTTGTTGTGAATTTTGTTCTGAGAGTTTAAAACGTTATATGCATACTATAATATAGCCTAAATACATTTAAAAATAAATATAATGCCACTCTATAATATACTACAAATGCATAGGCTTTCAGTTTAAAAGAGTACTCAGATAAAGCCATAAAGCCACGCAGTAGAATCGTATGCTGTAGGCCTATGTGTTTGATAGTTGATATTGATATTGACGTGTGCTATACAGTGTTGGGGAAAGTTACTTTTAAAAGTAATGCATTACAATATTGCATTACTCCATAAAAAAAGTAACTAATTACGTTACTTAGTTACTTTTTTATGGAAAGTAATGCGTTACGTTACTTTTGCGCTACTTTTTAAATCTGGACAGGGCTTGCTTGTTTGTTTTTAAAATAAAAAAGTTCTATTTTTGGCAAATATAAAAGCCTTTTCAAACCAAAAGTGAAATGAATGAGCCTCAGGCTGAAGGGAAAGTAAATTTACGTCCGTACAGTAGACTTCAGCAGTAAAAAAAGACACAAATGTTCGTCTAGAGTAATTTTGCTTATTAGTACGGTTGAACTGGATCATCGAAGGTCAGAAGCAAAGACATTGGTTAATAGAATGGGATTAAATACATAAAGGATATTTGTGTTGTTTAACATTTAATTATTGCAGGTTTGCATCATATTCTGAGTTGCATTATTTTTATTCATTTTGAGGAATACTGAATCTGTGTGGGGGTTTTTTGTGAGTGAGATGAATTAATGCATATTTTATTTATTTTAGAACTACAGTAACATCTTCTGATTTCTCTCAACATGGGGACAGGAGAGCTGTCAATCAATAAATTGGAAAAAAAGTAACTAGCGTTACTTATTTGAAAAAGTAACTCCGATATTCTCTTGTAAATTAAAAAGTAATGCGTTACTTTACTAGTTACTTGAAAAAGTAATCTGATTACGTAACTTGCGTTACTTGTAATATATTACCCCCAACACATATTGTGTTCTAATTGTAACACGTGCCCGCGCCAGCGCTATTTTGGGCCCTTGGAGCACGCAACGCCCCTCTCGAGCTTAAGAGGTCACGCTGTTTATTCTGGACCATGAGCGGAACGTTTCTGCTGCCTTTGTATGCAACTCTGATAAAGACTCAGTTCAGCGGAAACTTAGTTAATTAATTCAAATGGTCAAAACACAATAACATACACAATAACCCACATACAGTGGCCTACCAAGTCAATGGCAAAAATTGCATAGCCTATATATATTAATTTAATTTAATATATATGCGCATATACATACATACATAAAATATTTAGCGATTGACCATTTAAATTGTAATTTAAATTTTTTAATTTTTTATGCCACTGTATGTGAACCTGCTGAGAGGAAAGCGTATGCACTTAGTTACTTACAGCTTTCATTGTTCTCAAAGGGATTAGCTGTTACTTATTGTTTTGGCAATGATTTCTGTTAGAAACAGAAAAAACATAGGTGTTGGGCATTTATTTAAAGGAATATTTCATCCACATTAGTCATGTTACTGTAGCTCGTTCTGTCAATACCTGGAAAATAAAGCATGAAGTTGCATAAAGAGATTAATTAAAATTTTTAGTTGGTAAACAGTTCTACATTCTGGGTGAATAAAGAACACTATTCATGCCCAGTGTTTTGTTCAAAGGCAGTTTCAGACACTTCACTCCTTTGTCACTTGTCAGTGTATTTGGAGTTTACTGGTTAGGCGTTCCCATAAAAGATTTGTCTCTGCTCTAGGTGATCGTCCTGTGGGAGTGTTGCGTTCTGTACGTGTGAAATGCTTTAGATGCTGTTGTGGTCAGTCTGTGTGGATGAAGTTTCCATGGAACTCTCTCAGTCATTGAGTGCGATTTGACTGTGATCCCAGCACTTTGATTCAGAGATAATGCACAGATGTTTGATCTTTGGGAATGTGTCCGGCCTATGTTAATGCCAGCTGTGTTTTCATTCCACATTATTATGTCAGTATGTGCTCTCTCTCTCTCTGTTCATGTTCCTGTGAGTCCAGCTCAGGATAGTACACATTCCTCCACCCCTCTGTTCTCTAGCAGAGTCACGTTGTGCTGCAAGGACACATATTCACATGGTCACAGACTGACATTTTGCCATGACTTTCTGATTTTACAGTTTACTGAAATTTGTGTTTATCTAATATTTATAATCTTTAATAATGCAGATAAATTTAATCATGCCTCACAGATTCTGAAAAAAATGACAGTTTTGGCTCCCCAGAGGGTAGTGAGAAGTGAGTCCTGCAATTGCTTTATTTGTCTATCCACAGGAACTTAAGGGCCATTGCTACTGTGCAGTATGTTCAATTTCCTCATCATATGTGTCTTAATATGATGGATAAAATATTAAACTCATAGTTATTTCTGTTTCTATGACCTCTAATATGAAAAACCAGCAAAAGAAAATTTCAAATTAAACTTTGTCTTGAGAATATTGCTTTAAGTAGTACTCAGTTTATTGATTTTTCAACTGACACGTCCTCAAATTAATTTTTAGCAGAAAAATACCAGCATAAACAACCAGCATTAGCAGTGGAATTGCTATTTTCATAAGACTGTAAAAAATGTATTTTTCAGGTAAATAATCAGCTTGACCGTATCATGTTTCTGTAAGTCTATATACCCTTTTATAGAAATGCTTCCTTAAATTACAAAACAAGCACTTCATAAAAGTTAGTCAAAAAAGAAATGCATATCAGAAAGGCCTCTTAATACTCCCCGGTGTCAAAGGAAGGTTAAAGTACTATTAAAAATAAAGGTTCTTTATTGACATCTATATTTTCATAAAGAACCTTTCACATCCATGGAAACTTTCCATTTAACTTTCCATTAGATTTTAAAGTTTTTTTTTTTTTTTTTAAATGTTCTTCACACTAGGAAAAACTTGAACTGAAAGGTTATTTTGGGGGATCAAAAATAGTTATTCTATGTTATCACTGTGAAAACCCCATTTTGTGAAAACACCTTTATTCTTAAGAGTGTAAACCTGGACTGCTTTGACATCATCTGTCTCCTCCACAGATGCTGCAATGCCTCAGTTTGTTCTCTGCTGACCTGTCTCCGTAGGAATAATGACATCACAGAGGACATCTGAAGACCTGCCCGGAGAACGTGGCTCACTGCCACTGGACATCGATGATGTCCACATTCTACTGCAAGGTCAGATTGAAGTTTTTTAAGCATAAAACTAAAATAAAATATTTCAATATCTCATATCTGATTTGATTTGTCATTGTCTGTTATAGGTTTGACAGTATCAAAATGTATATATTGCAATTTTCAGTGGACTTTGGATGATTCTATGAATTCATTCATTCATTCAAAAATCTTTCTTCATCTGTTTATTCAAAAGCAGATTAAAGTGATTTATTGGTGATGCCAAACGGTATGGGTTAAAATCTCTCTCTCAATCTTTCTCTCACAAATACATACACCCAAACACATTATGCTGTGATATTGAATCAATGACTTGAATAAGGCATAAATAATGCATGGTCATGTGTTTTGCAGATTGTTTGGTAACAGATAAATTTAATTAAAGTTCTGTTGCCCTGTGTCATGAAGAGTTGCACAAAAAGTGTTTTTCTAGAATGCAGGGAGTGGGTAATTCAATTTCTTTTAATCCACAAAAATCTTTGCTGTCTCTATTGTAGTGTCTTTGTTGTTGTTATGAGAGTAAAGTAATGTGGATGTGTAGATAAGATTTCTTAAAGGAATAGTTTAGCCAAAAATGAAAACTTGGAAACTTTACTCGTGCTTCCTCAGGATGTAGATGAGTTTGTTTCTTCATCGGAACAGATTTGGAGAAATTTAGCATTATATCACTTGGATCCTTTGCAGTGCATGGGTGCCATCAGAACAAGAGTTCAAACAGCTGATAAATACATCACAATAATCCACACAACTCCAATCCATCAATAACTTTTCAGCAAATGTTACATTTTTAAGTGAACTGTTCCTTTAATGAACACAATCTAGGCAATAATTAAGGCAAGATTACTTCTGAAAAAAAAAACATATTTGTTCACTCCTCGTTTGTGGAATTGAGGGGTCGATCACTTGACAAGAACTAATATGTTTTAATGTGTTTTCAGGCTACTTGTTCCATCATTTTGAAATCATTAGAAAAAAATGACATTATGAATTGGGTAATATTTCTCTCTGTCAGAGTTCTGAAATTAACTAAAAAAAAAGTCAGTGGAAATTACTAAAAACTGATGGCAGGTGAAATTGTGTTGCACAATATTTGTTCCATGTGTCAAGAATCAGTGAATAATTAATGTCTTAACAAGTTGATCACTGCCGGAGCCCTGAGGATACAGTAGAACTGCATTAGGAGAAGCGTTAATCAGTACCTGTGTGGACATGCTGTGCGCGCTTCTTTTGGCATACGTAAAAGGTGGAGCTTTTTTTGAAACCTGCTGTACTGGCACGTGATCCTGAATGACTTCGCTAAAGGTTACCAGGCAAGTTGTGCCCTGTGTTTACGGTAGATTTCAGTTCTACAGCTGACGCATGTTCTTCAGTATTTCAATGTGGGAGATTTGCATTGCTTTGCTGCATTGCAAGATGAGGCTGGTTTCTGAAACATTTCTGTTGTTGCACACTTCAACATGCAACAACTGATGATAATACAGGGAATTCTGGAATAGCAAATCTGCTGACAGCAGCATGGGTGAGTTTGTAGTTGGTTTGAAATTAGTTCAAAAATATTTTTGTTCCTCTGTTGCAAAATGCTTTTTAAACGTAGATAGACCAGACAGTGTGCAATAATTAAAATACATTTAACTAATATTATTCTATCGTGCACACGTGAACATCATTGTGCAATCACCACTGTTGATGTCTCCTTAAAAGACAACAAAAAGAAGTTGCCTCATTTGGTCAGGGTTGAACACACATCTGAAAGATCTCATAAGAAGAAACACGGATCACAAGGTAAAGTGCACATAATTTGTATAAAACATTTTTTTTTAAAGCGTTCAATATTGCTGTATGTCTTGAAAGAGTTCTTTAAGATTATAGTAATCATGTAGCTTTCAGTTATAGTAGTGTATTTGTTTTTACCTCTCTAATACTATGAATCATTATGAAAGTCATTTGTTCATCATATCTGTCCCGCCTGAATGAAGTATCAGCAAAAGTTGTCATCCATGTTGTGTGTCTTTTCTATTTTTCTCTTCTTTTTGTTTCCCCTCCCTCTGTTGTTCTCTCAAAGGGAGGTGTTGTCTCTAACGATTTAAGAACTGCACCTCCCAAAACACATTAGACCATACGATATGAACTTTGTTCAGTGGAAACATTCCAGTCTTTTCTGTCATTGTGTTTCTGTAGCGTTCATTTAAAGTAAGTCACGAGTAAAGGGGAGTGTTCACTGGGAGGATTTTGTTGTTTTCAAATCTTTCTTTCTGAGGTGGATCAACACCTTGGCTAATGATTCAGTTTTTGAGTTTGTGTCTGCCACATCATTTTTCCCTTGCTGCACTTGCCTCACTCATTTCTTTTGGCCTCTTTCATTGTTGTCATTTAGTTACGAGTCATTCTTTTGGACTAGGTCTCTGGTGGGTTACCTCAGTTACAAATCCCAGAAACCAAACCTGATCCCTGTGTCAGTTTCTGTTTTGCTTAACAGCAGCAACATGCAGTTTGATTTTTTTTAAAGACTACAGACGGATGCCATTAATAAATGTCATTAATTACATTTGACTGAAACACATCAGAGTGATAAAATTATATATATATTTTTTTTATTTACCTTTATTTAACCAGGAAATTTAAAACTCTTGAGATTTAAAATCTCATTTACAAGAGGGTCCTGGCCAAGATAGGCAGCACATTTAGTTACACATAAAACAAAATACATTCGTTTACATACACATCACTCAAAACATTTACAATCAGGTGACTCTACAATTAGATCCTTTAAAATACATTTAAAATAATTTAGTGATACCAACTCTTTTAAGCATAACTTATCTTGCAGTCGATTCCAATCAAATGGAGCAGCATAACTAAATGCCCGTTTACCCATATTAGTACAAACTTTAGGGATGCTTAAAAGATAATATTCTTGTGAGCGAAGACCATAATTCTTTACACGATTTTGTAAAATATTCTGCTGTAAATACGAAGGAAGTAAACCTAA